CTTCCACAAGGTCGCAACGACTTCTTGAAGCTTGCCATCTCGGATAGCCTATCGCGTCATGTCAGCACATAAACTCAAAAGCCAAAAAGGAAACTAAAGCGACTCACCTCGTAAATGACAGAAACATTTTGTCCAATCGTCAGGCCGGTCCATCCCTCCTCAAACCTGTTAAGGTTATCGATACCATGCATCTTGACACCGAGAGTGTTCCGGACGAATTCGTAGACGGGGCGAGTGTTGCCAAGGAGGTGGGCAGCTGGTGCAGAACCACGCTCACCACGGAGGTACTGGCCTTGCAGACGAGTGTAGAGCTCGCCGGATTGCTTGCCAACAGCATCGCGGAACGCCTTGATACCCGCCAAATCAGACTCGGGGAGCATCTCGACCAACGGGGCTGTAGCAGCCGCAGCCGCAGTCTTCATACGAGGAACAGCATCCATCGTCGACGTTACCTCGTACGACTCCATAACAGCCTTGAACACCGGTCCTTGAACCGACGCAACCGAAGCGGCCGAGAAATTGTTGCCGAGCTCCTTGTTAATGATATCAGCAACACCTTGCGCGAGCTCGCGTTGTTGAGCACGAAGGTCGACGGCTTGGCACACGAGGTACAAGTACGAAGCAGTGAGGAGCGAGAGGACGTCGAGTGCCTGGACGGTCGCACGCGCAGAGATGAGAGCGAGCGAGTTGACGGCCTGGTTGTGCATCTCGGCGCTCTGGACGTGGGTCGAGACGGGGTTGGCGAGGAAGCCGAGCTCGCTGACGTATGCGGCGGTAGCAATATCGAGGCCCTTGGCGTGGTAGTTGACCGATGGGTCAGAAGCAGCGAGTGAAGGGGGAAGACCACGGTTGAACGCGGGGTTGATCAACTCGGTCGACTGGGCAAACATGATCTTGCCGAGGTGGTGGAGCGCCAGACGAGTCTTTTCCATTGCGTTGGTGACGGCCATCGCTTGGAAGTTGCCACCATGGTGGACTTGGCCGGTCTCGCCATCGATCAGAGGGTTGTCGGTGGTGGTGTTGCACTCTTGGGTCACGACGGACCAAGCATGGAGGATATCCTCAAGCTGAGGGCCGATGAACTGAGGAGCGGTGCGGAGTGGGTAACGGTCCTGGCGGAGCTTGCCCTCGTCCTCCTCGATCGTAATCTCCTTCTCCTCACCGAGGTGGGCCAACTTGCTACCCTCGAGCAAGTTCCAAATGTGCTTGGCCGACTCGACCTGGCCGGGGTGGGGACGCGCAACAGCGTGAATGAACGGGTGGTGGGATCCTGCAAATCCAATTTCAGTTCCCTGCATGAGACAAGGCCTCGGAATCCAGGCACCGACGTACCTTGAGTGCCTATGAGAGCTTCGGTGCCCATAGCAGTGAGGACCTGGGCGAGCATGCCCATGTGAACGGCATCGTTGAGTGCGAGCGAGGCAACAGCAGCTGAGAATGCAGTTCCGTTGAGGAGGCCGAGGTGCTCCTTGGCGGCCAACTTGAGGGGCTCGATACCAGCAGCTTGGAGTGCTGCGCGAGAAGAGGTAATCTGCCGAGGGAGCTCCCCATTTCGCTTGCCGTGGTAGCAGCGGATCTGCTCATTTCCGAAGATAGTGCCAGCAACGTAGGAGAGCGGGGACAAGTCTAGATAATGCTACGTCAGTCCCGTGGAAACTCGGGTGAAATAAGACTTACCACCCGATGCGCTGATGCTGCCACGGAGAGGGACAAGAGGGGTGATGTTGTTATCAAGGATAGCCTGCATACGTTCGAGGAGCTCCCAGCGGACACCCGAGTGGCCGCGGATCAACGAGTTCATGCGGATAAGCATTGCGGCACGAACCCAGGACTCGGGCATCGAGAGGGTGTTGAGCGGGTCGGAAAGTGGCAGGGGGGCCTCGGGCTTTTCCTCAGCAACATGACCGGGGTGGGTGAACGAAGGGAGGACTCCCGAATGTTGGTGTTGGAGAAGCGCCTTTCCGAGCGCAAGGTGCTGGCTAGTACGAGTGTCGGCTATAAGACTAAATCAGCAAAATGATCTGCGTATGGATCAAGTGAGAACCTACCGCTGCCGCCGAATCCAGTGGAAATACCATAGACGCTCTTGCCGGTTCTGAGTTTATCTTCGATTGCATTTTCGGCCTTGGCCATGCGCGATTTGATGACATCGGAGCCATCGAGAGCGACGCGAGCGCCGTAACGGGCGGTTGCAACAACCGAGGGAATGGTCAGGTTGTTGCCATCGACAACGACAGGCTTCCCCGATCTGTGTTTGCGTGTCAATATGCAAATCAATATACCTAAAACGACAATGACGCACTTGTGAGACTGCACAGTCGCATGGCTGGCGATAAAAGTGTCGAGCATGGTCGCGCTCGAAGAAGGAGTCGAGTAAGACGAAGCGGAAACGGCGGGCTTGTGGAACCCATTGGTGGGGTAGCCGTTGGTGGTAGCAGAGGGAAGAGCGTCGACAGCCATGATCATCGTTTAAAATTGAGTGGTAGTTGGGAGGCGAGACTGATGGATGCCGATTATCTGCCTCTGGAGCCTGGTTATATATATCCCCAGCCCCTCAAAGACTCGGGAAAGTTTACGTCCCCCTGTCCACAATAGACGGAGCCAGGGACTCGTGGCCTAGCGGCGACGCCGAAAAAATCCAAGCAAGAACCACACCACATGATGAGGTCAAAATAGAGACCGGAGGAGCTTAGAATGACTCGGATGTCACTCCGAGGAGCTGGATTGTGCCTATTATGTCCTTTATGGCCACTCTCCCAGGATCGTGAGTAATATTTTACTCTATAACAAGATCCGTTCCGAAGCAATCGACGACGTCCCGAGTATTATATGAGCAACGATAGACTAGATTTCATCATCACCCACCGCGCGGTTTCTTTTTCTTATGATCCGGCCGACTTCAGGAGTGTGGGGATGTTTTTTGAAAGACTTGGCTATCACTCACACTCCGTCTGATGTCAGCAAACAGGTACCCAACCACCCAAGGGCGCCTCATGACCCCCATCCCCCCTTCTATTCTACCATTCGCCTACATAAGCGCGAGTCAGCAGGTCCTGTGCGAAGACTGCCCTCTAGTAATTTCCGTACATATTTTTCCTTTGTCGATTCTTATCTCTACTCGTTATCTAGTGTTCTATCCGTATCTCTAATGAACCGAACTATCCTCGTATGGAGTCCATGGATAGAAATCGTTCACCGTCTCCCACCCGGTCCCCACCGACTTCCAGCTTCCGTACGTCAATATTAACCGCGCCTATCTGCTCTGGACCATAAGGCTGCCCCTTGTTTCAGTGCTTTTCCTACTAGCAGCTACGCGATGACGTCGCTTGGAGCCTTCCATCTATGTACACCCATCATTCGACCTTCTATGCACTAATTATTCGTGATTGCCTGCTTCAAACGTGCTTAGGTACTTGATGGGAGCGCTCGTCATGGTTCCTCTATGCGCATGGAGACTGCTCTCAAGTCTGATCCGAGGTTCTTTCGACTTTGAGAGTTGGTTTTCCGGCTGTGGGGATCGGCGGGTTGGGTGGAGGTGCGTCAATCCGCGAATTTGGGGGTCCCACTGACAGGCCAGAGTGCTGAAACCTTACTTGCAGCCCCCTATACGTCGGCCCCCATCGACTAACGTCTCATTGACTAATTTCTACTGCTCTTCCTCAGCTCTCGGTCGATCCCGACGTCGGTCAAGGAATTAACATTGAAGTTTCAACCCTAGGGTAGCAAGGTCGACGCCGGGTACCGTGTGGCGTTTAACACGGGTCGCCCAATGTCTGTCCTGATTGCCATTCACCTTCCGCTCGTAACATCCTCGAGTAGCCGTTTCAGCCGCCAAATGCTTTGGAATTCGTAGTCGATCACTATGGGATTCATGACTATGACCCTAGTTCCCTGGGTTAGCGGGGCTGAAATGCGCTGATGTTTCCTCGCTGGCTAAATGCGCAAGGATCCGGTATGGCACTGAATGACTAACATAGACGTAGTGTAGGTACCCATTGGGGGGATCTGCACGCTAGATGGAACAAAAGCATTGGGGCCAAGTGCTACTAATCAATCTATTGGTTACGATAAAACCATACGGCACAAGGTTTGCAGTACTGTCAAGAGCGTCCCTCGATGACTGAATTAATTTAGTACCCCACCTAGATCGATAAGTGAAATATTCTGTCGCTATTCAATAGGCCCTAGATAATGCTTGACCTTGTCGAGCTCGAAAGCGACTCGGCTCTGAGTACCATGCGTATTACGTGCCACCCCCTCGCTACTTTACCTCGATGACGGGAATTCATCATTCATAGAACACGGAAACTCGGGTGAGGTACTTGGCTGTTCCCATTCATTTTTGTCGAGCTCTGTCCTCTTTCCCAGTTTGTATAAATAATGTAACTTTGTCAACATGTAGCAATTCGTCGATGCCGTGTTCTTCCATTTCTGGCGCCTTCCCCAGTGTGGCGACTGACCTGGTCTCATGATCAAGCTCCGAAAATTGTGGCGGTAGAGCGTCAGCTGTCCTAAACTTTCCTGGATGGTGCCAAAAAAAACGTCAAATGAGCATCCACGAAAGCGTCACGCAACGTGCCCTCTACGCGAAAAGGCGCCCAGCTGCATAATATTACGTCGATGATTGAGTGGAAATCATTCGGCTACCATACTATAAACTAGACTCACCCCTTTTCGCGTGATTTCCATGCAATCGTGGATAGATAGGGATAGTTTGTATTTGGTATATGCGCAGCATCCTTGATAAGACTTAAGACCGTGATACGATTTCCCCGGGTGGTCAAAATGTGGGGAGATACCTACTGAGTATCACAGGTGGGGTGGCTGGGTAAGATTCACACAGTGCCCATTTGTGAAAAACATTCCCGCAATAAGAGGGGAGTCGGTGTGCACTCAAGTGGGAGAGCTTCTCGACATAAGGACACATGACAAAGAACCAAAGCAAGTAACCGGAAGTGCGGTACAGGTTATACAATGACCAAAAGTCTCCAACTGACAAGTTCTCAGTGGTCCAACGGTCAAGACTCGTGCCTGTCAAATAATTTGCCCGCACGCAACCGGGGTTCGACTCCCCGCTGGGAAGTTTCTTTTTGAGCTGCTCCTTATAACATTTATTATCGATACTTATCTATAGTTAATCCCCGCTTCGTGCTTCGTGCTATATGTTATTTTTAATGGCTCTTCCTTTAGCACTCTGAAAACATTAAACTACATTCGAAAAGTTAAGTTGGTTTCAGGTAGTAACCGAGATCAGATCCCCCTTCTAAGCTGGCTCTACGATGAAATTGGATTCAAACCACCAGA